GGCCCAGGCAGGAGCAGCAGCACCCGGCTGACTTATAATTAGCTTTTACTGGGTGCTTTGTCTCCACTAATCCTTTGAAAGGGGGCTGGCAGGGTGGCTGGGACGTCAGGATGCTGTAAAACCTCTGTAATATTATAAATCCCTTCAGACATCGTAAAGAAAGAAGCTCCCCCAGAGCCCGTCTCCCATAATTGCACAGACATTTCCCTCCGATTAATAAAAAAGGATCACTTCCGTCTGCAGGTACTCTGCCCTCTCTCTCTCAGACCTGCCCTCCGTCTCGGGGTGCCACCCCCACCCCCGTCCAGTCCAGCCTTGCACACGAGGACCTGAGGTGGCCCAGAGCTCAGCAAGGGGGGAAGGGATCTTGACCAGCTACAGAGGGGGGACATGAGGCCAGGGCCCACAACAGCCCACCCATCTCGTCACTTCTTTATTACGGGTCCCTGAAAGTAAGGGTCCCCTGAGAGGGACACCTGGGGAAGAAGGGGGTCACTCCAGCCCGGGTTTTAATTCAGGCCTCGCTGCTCACAGGCTCTGTGATGTTCAGAAACGCACTACCCTCTCTGAGCCTTGGTTTTCCCCATCAATAAACCAACAGAATGCTGGCCTCAGGCACCAGAGCATTTACCTGACCCCCTGCTGACCTGCTGACCCCCAGGCAAGCCCTGTGCCTGATCTCCCAGGCCCAGAGCCAGTCCCTGGACTTGGCCCCAGAGCGTCCAGTGCAGCTGGAGACGGGCGATCAACAGAGGGTGGCCGAGGGAACAGGGTGCTGAGCCCGAGGTCTCAGGCCGTGAGGGGCTAACGAGGCGGGTGAGACCCAGGTTCACAAGAGCAAGACAGAGGGCCTGCAGCGGGCAGCTGCAGGGGAGCCCCTGGGGCCTGAAGGGCAAAGCCAAGGTGAGCCGGGGGACCTCGCGCTCTGGCAGCCACGCGGTCTACAATACCCACCCCAGACCCCAACAGGAGCTGTGTCCCTGCAGCAAGGGGCAGAGCGGTGGCCTCCACTGGGCAGCCCCTAGTCCCCGCTCCACCTCCTCCCCCCGCTTTCACCTCTGCGGCCCCCACCACGCCCAGGAAAGCAGAGACCCAAATCAGAACCCACGTGGACCGACTGCCGCCCCTCAAGGTGGACCGAATCTAGGCATCGAGGTCAGACCAGGCACATCAGGTCAAGGTCAAGGATGTCAGTGAAAGGAGTGAGGTCAAGGTCAGGGTGAGTTAAAGGTAAAGCTTAGAATCGCAAAGTCAAGGTCAAGGAGATGGAGTTGAGGAATGAAGTCAGAATTAAGGATGGGGTCGGGCATCCTAAAGGTCAGCCCTAAAGGCCCCAGCTGAGCTCCCTGGGGAGAGCCGGACGCAGGGACGTGGTCCAGCGGGAGGCGAAGCCGCCTGTCCTACCATGGTCTGGAGTCTCCTTGCGGCTGCACCAGGCTGGGGGCAGCCGGGGGATGGCTCTTTAAATAGTGCTCCTCCCGGCAGCCGGCACCCAGCCAGGTCCAGACCTCAGTTTGGAAGGTGACCAGGGACAGGATGGGAGCCTCCCTGCCAAGCATCTCCCCTGGGCCACGGGGAGTCAGCTAAGCTGGGGATCCAGAGACCGCCTAAGCCGGGGGATCTCCGCCAGCCTGGGGCCAAGTGTTTCCTCCAGTGCCAAGGGACCAAGATTCAGGAAGGGGCCCAGGGACAAGGACATGCAGAGAGTTGAGGCCTGCGACCAGCTGGGAAGGCCTGGCCCAGGGCCCTGGAAGGTCAGGGAGAGGTCCCCGCGGCAGGAGGGAACCACAGGGTACACCTCCCTCCAGCAGGCCCCGTCCTCTTGTAGAGATGGGGGAGAATGTGACATCCTTTGGCCCACAGGGACCCCCCAACCAGTATGACAACAGAGGTCCTTCAGTGTCCTCTGGGGATGGGTTCCAGGCACCCCCACAGGTACCAAAACCTGCACATGGTCAAGTTCCTTGGGTAAGTGGCTTAGGTTTTGCATGGAGCCTCGGCCCGTCCTTCAGAGGGCTCCAATTACCCCCCAGATGGTTCATGCTCCCTGATGCGATCTAAGTGCCATGTAAATCGTTGGTGGACCGTATTGTCTCGGGGACAATGACAGGGACAGGTCTGCACGCATCCGTATAGTGCAGACGGCCTGACACTTTCCATCTGCGGTTGGCAGAGCCCTCAAGTGTGCAACCTGTGGCTACAGAGGTCCCCTGTGTTGCTCTGTGGCCTGCATTGGCCTTGGTCCCTGTCCCCAACCCTGGGGGCCCCCAAGATTTGTAAATGCACAAGCTGCTGAGAAAGCAAATAGACCAAGAAAAATGGAGGTGACTGGCGAGGGAGGATTGGAGACCCAGACCCCGCCCCACCCTGGCCTCGAACACACAGAGCCACCCCCGGATGTGCCCTGTCCCAGAATTCTCAGCTGACATGCCCAACAGAGCTCTCGCCTGCCCCCACAGGCTCCTCTTGTGTCCAGTGCAGCCCTAGTGGCCCCCACTTGGCCTTGAAGGTGGCCCTGTCCATCAAGCCAAGTCGCCCACTGCGTGGGGACATCACAACTGATCGGCTGCCAGGGCCAGCAGGGCTGTGATCCGGCCATGAGGCCACTGGTCCCTGGGAGCTGGAGAGCTTAACTGTCCCCGGAGCTGGCCTCAGGCCTCCAGACCCCGGTACGGCTGATCCCCTGCCTCAGGAAGAGGGAATGGGACACTCGTCCAGAGAGGAGTGGCCCCGGCTCCAGGACTCATGTTCTCCATCCTCCCCACACTCAGCTGACCCACTGTCCAGGTGGGGACGCCACAGCACACAGGGCTTCAGACACTTCCCCAAGGCTGTAAGGGTCTGTGCCAGTATGAGAGGCCTCTTTCTAGTGGCCCCAGAAAGAAGCTTCCAGAAGGTTCTGCCCATCCAAATGCTGCACTTCCCCCGTCCCTCTCCCAGTCATTGCTGACTCTGTCCAGCCCCTCTGGCCTCCCTCCACCTTGCCATGTGGTCCCCAGACAGGTTCCTCTCCTGGCATTCCCCCAAGGGACTGGCCACATGCCCCATGGTGCCCAGGAGGCCCGACTGAGGGGTCATCTGGCTCCGTGGGCAGGAGCCCAGGATTCGAGGCCCCGCCCCCTCAGCCTGTGTGACAGTGACAGGTGCCTCCTGAGGGGAGGCAGGTGGCTGCCATCTGTGCCAGCCACGGGGTGCTGTCTTTCCTGGCCTGGTCCATGCACCTGGCCCGCTCTGTGCTCACTGAGGCGGGGACGGGGCCACTGGGGCTCCAACTCCTGACGGACCTGCTTCCTGCTCTGGCCTCCGGCTGGCCTCGGGCCTCCACACCCAAAGCCAAAGCTCTGGCCTCTGGGTATCACGCCCAGGACCACAGAGGGACTCGGGAATGTCAGGGACAGTCCTGAGCGGGCAGAGAGCCCTCCGCTCGCCCAGCAGAGGGGACACGGAGTTGAGGATCAGTCAAGTTGGCAGGAGTGGGTCAGAAAGCTGGAGAGCAGAGACAGAGGCGCGAGAAACGTGCGCCCTGGGCTGGGGCCATGCGGAGGCCTTGGGAAGGAGACGCTGCCCGTCTGCCCTCCCCAGGGACCCTTGTGCACAGAGACATGGACTCGGTGTCCCCACCTGAGAAATGAGGCCAGTTACCCAGTCCTTCAAAGCTGCCATTGGGCACCTTGGCTGTGGGACATCTGGGAAGGAAGTGGCCTACAGTCACCAGCCAGGGTTGGGGGGGCAGAGACCCTACAGAGGGGGACCCTTAACACCTGGGTGGCTCCAAGCCGCAGCTCCCTCATGGGCCAAATGCAAGAGGCAGGGGCCACAGTGGGGCCA